TAATTGCCTGCCTTTCTTCTATACTAATTCGCCAAAGGTTTGAACATCGTAACTATCAAAAAAGTTATATATCATGTGCTTTAGGATTGCTTTAGATATACCAACAATATATTATATCTCAAGTGGAGTTTGCTGTTCGATTGGAACCGCAGCTTGTACTACCCTGTCAGTTTCATCATTTTTTATAAAAACCTACTGGGATGAATTCAATTTCAGATATAATATTTGGCTGCATTGTGCTTCTTATGGTCTGTACATTCTGCTGCTACTATTTTCCTACCGCTACTATGTGCTCTTCAGATCACCACCAAAAATTCGAACAATTGTTATCATCATGATAATCGCCTATATACCGTGCGGCATTCAATTCGTTAGTTTCAAAATCTTCTACTCTTAGAGATAACTTAAAAGGTTTAGCATAATTTCTGAATCTCATTATGTCACAGCCAGATATCAGAAATTTGGATTGCATTTGTTTTTTGTCGGTATCAAAAATCTTCTATTCACAGGGTTAACGTAAAAGCTTTAGTAAAATTTCTGACTTTCAATGTTAGACAATAACTAAATAGCGGAAGTCTAGATTGCAATTATGGTCGATTCACTGCACGCAGAGAGAAAGACCATCGCTAGCGTTGTCTGCGTCTCTCTAATTGCGAGCACTCTTGTTTCTCTAACCGTCTGCTGCCTCTTATGAACAAAAATTGCCTTTGTCGTGCGCGACCCTGTCTATTCCCTATGCGCGATAACTTGCCTGCACTTTTAGTCCAAAAAGTTTGAAACTGGCTTCAAGCATACTTTCAAGCTCACTTTTTTTAGGGAATGACATTCTTCGTTCTGCAAATTGAGGGTATCGCTAGGACCCGGCTCTCTCAGATGTACACCGATGACTTGACGGATAAATGTATCAGTGCCTACCTAGATCTCCATGATTGGAAAACTCTTATCATTGAAATGCACCTTACTCTTCTTATACTACCAGTCTATATTGCGATATTGATTTTGAGAAGAAAAACTATTGTAAGGCTACATGTTGGATGGATGTCTGAAAAGACTTTACGCATGCATTCTCAAATGCTAAAGGTAATTTCAAAGCAGGAGAGTTTGGCCACCAAATTGTCGAATTTTTAGGCAATCACCTACCAGGCCTGTCTACCACTGCTCTTGAGCTCTGGTTTTGTCGTATTCGTTTTAGGACAATTCTTAGGTCCAAACCATCCATTGCTACAGTACTCATACATAGCTGCCGGTCTCACTCCCGTGCTGACCCCTTTGATTTCTCTTTATTTCATCAAACCATATCACGACAATGTTAAGCAAGTCCTGTTATGCTATCCAAATGCTAAGAAAATAGCCATTATGCCGGCAAGTTCGATGTCGAATAGTGCTCATCGTCACAAAATTGCTATAGCTTGATAAAGTTCTATTATCTTCACTTCGAATCTTGGCTCCTTTGCCATTTTTTGATAAGAATGTAAATAAAGCATTTCGCTCATCATGAGATTAGTGCATGAAATATGATTGCGATTATAACGAAAACTCCAATTACGGAGACATTTCTATCCCTTGATTATAGAATAATTGAAGATCGACTTTATATGCGATGACTTTGGAGATGGGATAGATGAATGTGAATCACAAGAGATAGCAAGATCTTCAAAATCGGACTGACCATAACTGCCCACAATTTGCCAAATATGCACTTTACTCCATGGGATCCACAGCTGAATCATTATCAATTTGATGAGTGAACCTGCACTCAGCCGTAGCATCTCGCAACTCATATGTGGGACTGAAATCGCGAGAAGTATGACAGGACCTTAAAGGCAGCGTCTCACCTAAATTGAGGTCGCTC